TGGCTTGTAATATTCTTTATTATCATGAAAATACATTTGCATTCATTAGAACTTAAGACAAGCATTGATTACTGTACCAGCGATTAGATGTTATGACAATAATATCAAAACTGAAAACTAAACTGCCACTTTTGCAGTTTAATTAGTAACACAAAATATCATCTTTTATATATAACTTAAATCTATTTACAGCACTATCATGAGGTATCACAGAAACTGAGATGTTTGCTCCATGTCATCCACTCCCATCAGGAAAGAAATAATTTTCTGAAATTGCTAAACTTCAAAATAATAATTTCCCCTCAAAATATAAATGGATGACTGACCACTATTTAAAAAAATACTGTAAATTGATTAAATTACACTTTCTAGAACAGCGTCAAGAAACATCTAAGCAACTCTTTCAAGGCACCAATTTTTGTTTCCTTTGAAGCTGCATTTCCAACGGACTGACGTATTTTCTCTCCTTGTTCATCTTGTAAACCTAAATATGGCAAGAGGGGAGGAGGGGAAAGGGAGAGGGAGACTGAGAGGGAGAGGGAGAGGGAGAGGGGAGAGGGAGAGGGAGAGGGGAGAGGAGAGAGGAGAGAGGAGGGAGGAGGGAGGAGGGAGGAGGGAGGAGGGAGGAGGGAGGAGAGAGGAGAGAGGAGAGAGGAGAGAGGAAGGTGAGGGAGAAGGAGATGGAGGGAGAGAGTGATCAAGATAGAGACAGGAAGAAAAGTAATCCAGTTATTGCGGCTCCATTAACTCTTAAAGCATGCATATTACAAATAATTCTTTAAAAAATCAGAAACAGCAACACACATTACAGAGATACACTTTGCCTTCTCAGAAAAGCAGGAACAATAAAAGATATTTGGTTAGATGAAATCAACATGTCTGATATATATGTGTGTATATATATGTGTATATATATATATATATATATATATATATATATATATATATATATATATATATATATATATATATATATATATATATATATATATATATATATATATATAAAAGCCACAGCAAAATAAGATAATTTCTAATATCTTTTCTATTTCATTTCAATTATCCAGCCTTACATACTGGTTGGAAATTTTATTTTTTTCCAAGAAATTAACATAGAAACAGTGTAGCAATTGATTCCCAGAACACAAATTATCATAAAAAAGGGAAAAAAAAATCTGATCAAAACAATACCTAAATCCCGGAAAAGAGAAAAAAAGTATCTCATCATAGGACCCCCAAACACAAATACAAACAAAAAGGAAAGACAAAATAAGGACACACCAATATAAAGGAGATAATCAAAACCAATTCACATTCAACACATCGGGCTGCAGCCTAGTTTCGTTTAGTGAGCAAGTGACGGAAACCTTGTGAAGCTGAGCCACTGCAATGAAGTGTATTTACTCAACCCTCTTTTCTTGAATGTAAAGTATTATTTCAATTTACAGACCAAATAAAGCTCATTGCAATCGTCAGGTTAAGAATAATTATCTTTGCATTGCACTCTTTCATGGAGAGCACTCAAATTTCACTCATTTAAACATGTTCTGTTTTATAAATCTATGGAAGACTACAAAATTCATAATGATTACAAAAATATATTATCAAGAGGGTCCATAAATGCATAACATCAGTACAATAAAATGGCACCTTCTATGTCATGAAAAAGCTCCTACCAGAAAATGTCATATTAATTTTTTTTCCTTTCACCTGACATACAAATACACAGGTTTAGGCAATTATGTTACTTCCTACGAGTCAACCTCTCCAGTAAAGCATAAACTTCTATTTGAGCTTCTATTTTGTTAGCCTCTAAACACAATGCAAACATTAAACTTTTGCACAAATTCTATTCCTCAATGTAACTACTCAATATCTATGTTTGCTTACATATGTTCCTTTCCAGTTTATTACTTTGCATACTTTATAAATAGATATATAATGATCTGTCTAATATAACTACTATAAATTACAGACCTGTATAAATACTTCATATAGCAACAGATAAATATACAATATGTAGAAAAATTATCATACTGAAATATATAAACAAACAAAAATGAAAATAAAAATAAAATATCAACAAACACCCTCAGGTTTTTTCCTATTCATTTAATCTTCTATTATACAATATACTTATACTGTTACAACACACGTGGTTTAGACGTCATTTCTTAGTCCACTTTAGCAAGAACAATGGCGACTCTGCAGGGGATATACACCTGTAACAGATTAAGAGATAGTCAGTTCAAGAACAACATATAACACTAATTTCTACTAAAAATGCACATGAAATATATTTAATGACTCAATAAAACTTAGGCATCCACACACCAGAGAAGCTTTATAATTCAAAGTTCATACCATCAGGCAATTAGGTCGACTATTGAAGCCTTCGTTTTTTGTGAGGAACTCTGTGTTATGATCTAGGAGTTTGTGGCCACCAAATTCCTCAGCATCAGTGTCAAGTACTATCTTGTATTTCCCACTGCAACCAACTCCAATCTATAATTCATTATTAATATTTCTATTATCCTTATTCTTATCATTATCACTATCATCATTAATACTATTATCATAGAAAAAAATGATAATCAAGTGAAGTCATAAATAACATACAATGCACATTTTTTTCTCAATAATATTACTGACCTTGTAGTCCGTGTAGCTTTTAGAAGGATGGAAGTTGAAGATAAAGATGCAGTTTGCTCTTTCAAATGCAATGACTTTGTCCCCTTGGTGCCTTGTGCTTGTATATCCCTAAAATTCAGAAAAAAATCATATATCATGGAGCAAACTTCCAATTTGGTATAAAATCTATAATCTGAACTAGAAAAAATTGATAGGGAAAAGTATATTTACATGAAAAACACAATAATAGTTACATTTAAATGAAAGACACTTAAAACTGTATCATAACTGATGTAGCTAATACTGACTTTGCATAGCAGGTCATTTATCTAAGACTATACTTTCTAATAAGACGATGTTGACTTTCTTGAACATGCTAATGACATTGCAATTCTCTCACTTTATCAGTCTTAATAAATAATATATACTGAAATAAAGACTGAAACCAGATTCAGTGCTGATGAAATTATTAGTAGGTCATTGGTAGTGTGCAATACCATATAACAAAGCAAAGAAGGGCAAAGAAGCAAAATACATTACACTGGATATATTACCCAAAATGTGGTAGTTCAGTAAATGTACACTGATCAGTATTTATGTATTTCAGAATAACCTTCTGTCATAGCAAATTGTGAAACTCTCTGAATCAAGAACAGAAGCATGGTATTTTGCAAAAGCAAAATACATAAAACATCCCAGTACTGGATTTAAGGAAAATAGAATACAGGATATATCAACTAAAGAAATGAAAGAACCAGTTAACTTTAAGTAGATAGCAGTGGATGTACATCTAAGGAAAGTGCAAAAATGAAGAGTGGAAAATCTTGTTAGCCTAAGGCATAAAAGACAAAGAGAGTGGAGATTCCTCCCAGAGAATAACTTACAGGTTCTGCACTTAGCCAACCATATTTTTCTTCAGCATTGTTCATGGCAGCATCAAAGTTATTAAGGTATTCATACTTCAGTAGGGTATCATCCACCACATTCCACTGGCGACGTGCATAATGGTAGCTCTCATTGTTGCCAATCCGAGGAAAGTCTAACCACTCTGGGTGTCCAAACTCATTGCCTGTGTTAAATTTGCAATTGACAATCAATATATGCATCTCATCATAAAGCTCCTGCCAAAAGATTTTTAAATGTATACTTACAACAAAGTAGATTACCAAACACATATATATCATATTGCATCATCTTTTATCTCTCTATATAACCCAAGCAGTAAAATAATCAGGCTCTCTCTCTATAGCTTATCCATCTAATTCCCTTATCATCTGTTTGAATTTAAAAGTTTAAAAGTTCAGTTTTCACAAAATCTGGAATGTGACAGATTCAAATGACAACTGCAAACCTCTCGCAGTAGGACACTAAAATAAAAATAACTCACCCATGAAGTTTAAGTAGGCCTCACCCCCCAAGCCATGTGTGATCAGGCGGATCATCTTGTGCAGGGCCAGTCCACGATCTATGATCAGCGAGGGAGGGGACATCTTGGACATGTGAGTGTACATCTCTTTGTCCATGAGCCAGAAGGCCAAGGTCTTATCTCCTACAAGGGCCTGGTAAATTAGTACAGGTATTAAATTTATGGTTGAAATCCAGTACTAAATCTAATTGAGGAAATTTAATTAAGGAAAAAGTAATATTCTTTATGAGAATGAATATCAATCTCCAAATGAGAGAAAAAAAATCTTCTTAAATCTGTACATCAGAGCATCAGTGATACACACATTATCCTACAACTTACCTGGTCATGCGACTCTGCATAAGCAACTGTCTTTTCCTTGTAGCGTCGATTCTCAAGAATGTGGCATATATTCCCCATATCCCAATCATCATCTGACATCTCCTTTAAAAGCTTAATCCAGGTGTCAGGAATGGCCATGCCTAGTCGGTAATCAAACCCTCCACCACCTTCTGTCACTGGCCGGCAAAGAGCCGGCATTCCTGAGACATCCTGAATGAATCCAAGAAAATAAACACTTGAGGTTAGATCATAGTTTTAAAAATCTTGTGTTTTTTTTTTTAATGCATTTTACATGTCTTTTTACTTGCACATATATGTACATGAGTATAATAATATGATCCATGTATGTGCAGACATGAAAGCCAATGCATTAATATGCAAATGTAAATATGTATGCATATAACCACGCATGTGTATGTGCATAAGTATATATAACCACACAGAAGTAGAAAATGTCAATAAATTTCTCCATGTTTATGCCTGCCTCTTAGCTGAAAACTAAGTGAGTAAACATATTCTCAAAAGTATTAAGATACAACTTAAACTCACTTTATAAAGATTAAAAATAAAAAACAATTTATACATATAACTATAATGAAATAAAATACTCTTAACAGTCTCTAGTCCATGTCACACCTGTTAGTGCAGGAAATTTCACAAACAGCTGCTATAAATGGACTTACCTCAGCAATGGTTATGATCTCTGGGTAGAGCTCATGGAGCATGTGGTTGGCTAGCATGAGATAAACAAGAGCTTCTATGTCCACATTCAGCCCAAAGTATTCATTATAATCTCCACTAAAACCTTCACCTATTCCATGTGAGTGATACAACATGGAAGTCACACCATCAAACCTGTGATTTCATATGAAACTTGTGTTACAGACTGTTCCACTGATGTATTAATTACAATAAGATTAAAGAAAAAAGGTTGTGTTCAAAAATTCATTATGTTTGAAGAAAAGCAGTAATAGTGAAAATTACACTTGAAACCTACTTACTTCCTAGCTCCTATTGGTATATTAGCAAAGATCTAAATACAATATCATAATCCAAGATGGATTACTTACCTAAATCCATCGAAATTGTATACCTCAAGGTACCAGCGAAGGTTAGAGAGAAGGAACCTTAGCACTTCCCAGCTGATATAGATAAAAAAGGAAGATATTTACTACTAATACCTGCTCCTTGCAGAGAGTATAATGTATACATATTCTTTTTAAGCATAAATGAATGCAATTATCTTCATATAGCTACATGCATATGGAAATCTTATCTCATTACAAAGATTTTAAAATCTGTGAAACCAAAAAAAGATTTTAAATTCCTGAGTAAAAAATACAAATAAATACATAAACAACATATGCTAACATAAGACAAGGTTAACATGCTCTTAAAAAAGCTATATCAAATCTACACACTCACTGTGAATAGTTGAATAATCTTGAATCCCAAAGATCATGTATTCCTCTGCCGCCACCATGGAAATAGCAGGAGTCCGATCCATCAAACTCATTAAGACCATCCAAGACATTTTTGGATGCATGAGAATGCACAACATCCAAAAGAACATATAACCCCATGGAGTGAGCTGTATCAACCAGTTCTTTGAGTTCCTCTGGTGTTCCATACCGGCTAAAATAGGAGGCGAGTTTGTCCTAAGACCAGCTTTTTAGGAGCTGAAACTGGTTTAGCATCTATACTTCTAGACAAGCACACAGAGTAAGTATATATGTAAAAAAAAAATGCATATCATTGCAGGTATTTCAAGAACATCATCAAGTGAATAAACTAAAATAATTTTAATACATTTCTCACCTTGAAGCAGCAAAAAAACTGGTCACTTGATACCCAAAGCTGGCATAATATGCATGCTCCATAATGGCCATCAACTGGATGGCATTGTACCCTGGAATAGTGTCAAGCAATGGATTCAACTACAAAATCTTTTCTATATATGATAATCACAAACAAGATCAATTTGTAGCTTAGAACAATGCAATTTTTTAATATATTTACACCAGTACTTTTATCTGAGTTTCCGAGGAACACAAATACACAGCATAGTAACTTTAAAGGATATTTTTCAATCTGGACAAGTAAAATGAAAATTCATTGTATACTGGATTCCTTAACATAAACAACTCTATATCTTCATCCTGTTGCAAAACAATTTCTTACCCAACTTTGCTATCCTTGGAAGAACATTTTGGGTAAACTCCTTGTATGATCCAACTTTAGGCTCACTAGTACCAATGCCAACATGACACTCATAAATCCTCAGACTTGATGGCTTCTTTGGCTTTGGGTGCTTGAAGGTATATTTCTGTCAAAAAAAAAAAGTGCAAATTTTCTTGTAATCCATCATATGAACCAGTTAAAATACATAAAATATATACATATATTCTTTTTACAGTACATTTGGCATCTTTTCACTTTTCTACTGCTCCCTCTCTCCCCATTTTATCTTTCTGCCCCCCACTCTCTATCTTTGTCCTTCTCTTTCTTCCCTTCTCTGTCTATCTGTTCCTCCCCCTTTCCTCCTCACTTCTTTTCTCTTATCTCCTTCACTCTCTTATTCTCCTTTACTTTCTCCCTCCCACTTCCTTTTCCATTCTATCCCCCTATCCCACACCTTCTCTCTTTTATCTACCCTTTCCTTTTTCCCTCCCCAATTCTTCCTCTCGCATCCAACTTCTTGTACCCATATTCCAATCTCCTCTCTCTTAACATACCTCTTCTGGTGGAGGATTCCAGAAGTGATGCTGATATGCAATCCCCTCTGACTTGGGCGGCTGCAGCACGTACGAGGCCCAAGGACACAGTCGGTCCACCATCGTGTCTTTAGGGGTCAGGAGTCCCACCTGGTGATGAGAGGGTGCAATGCACAGTGATGAATAAAGCCTTTAAAAGAAAATTAAATTAAATGGACCTAGAACCATGAGTTAAAATATGATTTTTTTTTCTTTTACTTTACTTCTGTCTGATTTCAATAACGATAAAGCAAAAATGGATTGCACATAGTTATATAATCTATAATTCTCTACAGATCATGAAATATCCCTATCCTATATATATAACTGTAAATCATAACATCCATAAACTATGAAAGTTTCGGAGCCAAGGTTAATTTTGGTACTTATATGCAAATATAATGACCTAAAACCAAGAAACTAACTGCACCATATATAGTATGATGATGCTATAAGCTCAGAGGTACATTTCAAATGTTTTCTTTATAATCAAAGGTGTTCTCCAAACGGAAAAATAATATAAATACCAGCTTGAAATATGGAAATATAAAAAAATAAATAATAATAAAATAAATAAAATAATAATAATAATGACAGGGCTTTTGTAATCCATTCTATAAATGTGAAAACAAAATACTATTTGATAATCCTCTTGTAATTTTTGATGATCTACACAAAATTAAGAAGAATGCTAAAGTTCACCAGTGACATGATTTGCATCATTAAGTTTACTCATAAGTTTAATGACCACTGCATTGAATATTATTATAAAGTGTCTTTAGTACTGAATAAATTACACAGTAATTCTAAAGACAAAATGGTTCAGAAAAAAATTAAGAAATGACAAAGTATAAAGAAGATAATAATTTTTTTAGAATTTTTGAACTAGGATGATGTGAATAATCCATCATCTATATTTATTTGGCTTTACATATGCTCTGTTAGCGCCTGATTTCAAATGGCGGGAAAAACGTATTTTTCACTAGTGCCATGAATATCGATGGTGTTATTTTTATGATAAATATTATAATTTTTATAATGTTTTTTAACATTAGTAACAGCAAAATAATATAACGTAAAATATTTTGTAAATCAAAGAAAAGGGTGAACGGGCGAGACAGACGGTACTCGTAACTGGTTCATTGGTGATTTAGTACAAGAGTAGCCATCTATGTGTGAAAACAATCTAACAAGTAATCTCACAGTGGGCATGGCATGGCATGCCCGGCAGGAATGGGTTAAACTATGGATAGTTTAAGTTTTGAAATTAGGAAGCAACTAAAATCAGTATTAGGAAATGATCATCCCCAAATTAAATTCACTTTTGTCTTCACCAACATTAACAATATTACCAAATTTCTAAAACAACCATAGAGATATAACTCTGACATGCATTCTAATGTAGTGTACTTATTAATCTGTCCATACTGCTAAGCTCAGTATATGGGGTCTACCTCATGATGGTTACAACACTGTACCCTAGAACACAAAGGCAAATCCTTCAGGACACCTTCCGTTAGGTATAATATTACGAAAGTGGCAGGGAAAGAAAAGGTGATGATTAAGACACGAGTTATGGATTTTTGGGAAAAAAAAAAAAGGCCCGTACAACCATGGGGAATCTTTAGAGGGACAGTGGGAGAGACATTTTCAATAAAGTGAAGGAGTTACGAGTAATAGATAACAAAATGTCTGAAAATTAGGGCTTCTGATGACTTTACACAGAAGCAACAAAGTGACATAGTTACATTCAGCAACATATGGGATATTTTTCACTTCTCGTTGCATAGGGCCCTAAAGATATCATTAAACAAGTCACAGCCAAAAAAACAGGAAAAATTGTTCATTTTTAAGGTCACTATACAAGTTGAAACGACAAGCTATGAAATGATATCATGACATCACAACATCATTATCTTTATTTGCATAAAATGTTGGGAAAATGAATGCCTATTCATCTTAAAGTTTCAAGCTTTCACCCCAAATAGTTCTGATTTTAGCTGTGTCTCCAGCCTTCTTAACCCATTGCCGCCGGGGATGGCATGTACATACATGCCATGCCCACTGTGAGTAGACTTGTTTGATTGTTTTTACACATAGATGGCTACACTTGTTCTAAGTATCCAATGAGCCAATTACGAGTACTGCCTGTCTTGCTCGTTCACCCTTTTCATCGATTTACGAAAATATTTAACGTTATCCTAATTTGCTGTTAAAAATAACACCATCTATATTTATAGCACTAGTAAAAATACGTTTTTTCCCGCCAATTCAAGGAAAGGTGAAATCAGGACTAGCAGAGCCATCTATGGACAGATATTTCACAAAAATATAAAAAATGAGTACTGCATTTCCCCCATTTTTTGTTCATTTTCCCCGGCGGCAATGGGTTAAATTATCAAAAGCCAATGCAAAGCCATCCTAACTCAACCAAAACTAAGCTTACCTTATCCAACTCACCCCAAACCTAATCTAATCTCATCCAAACCTTAATCTTACTCAAACAAAACTAAACTAACCTATCTTTGGGTTGGGTTACCCATCCTAAACCAATTTAACACAACACAACATAACTTAATGGAACTTAAGCTAACCTAACCCAACCTAATCTAACCTCACATAACTCATCCTAACCAACCTGAACTAAAACACGACTCCTAAAAAAAGCCACTAAAAAAATATATTTTCTCATGATTCAGTATCCACCTGATATCTAAATAATTTTACTTATGGAATAAGAATGGTCTTCATAACTTAAAGAAAAATCATCTGCCTTAGTATCTGAGTCAGTTATAAAGCGGGATTTGGGTGTCTTAACTGGAAACAATATTTATTATATATATATATATATATATATATATATATATATATATATATATATATATATATATATATATATATATACATTATATTTACAGCACACTTTGCCCCTTTGTCAAAATCAGTTATGAAAACCCAAATTAATATTATCATCAGCAATGCATTAGCTACATTAGTATTTCAGAAGAAAAGTTACTGGTAAACTTCAAGTATTCCTACTTCAGATTAGTAGACAGAAGGGTATGGAAGCTGTTAATATCTCCCATATTTTTAGTTATTCTTCTTATCAATGCTTTATACCAATAGCATAATAAACTTCTAAGACCATTTAACCCAAAGCCACCGGGAAAATGCTGTGCTAATTTTGTGTGTGTGTGTGTGTGTGTGTGTGTGTGTGTGTGTGTGTGTGTGTGTGTGTGTGTGTGTGTGTGTGTGTGTGTGTATGTGTGTGTGTGTGTGTGTATGTGTGTGTGTGTGTGTGTGTGTGTGTGTGTGTGTGTGTGTGTGTGTGTGTGTGTGTGTGTGTGTGTGTGTGTGTGTGTGTGTGTGTGTATGCGTGTGTGTGTGTGTGTGTGTGTGTGTGTGTGTGTGTGTGTGTGTGTGTGTGTGTGTGTGTGTGTGTGTGTGTGTGTGTGTGTGTGTGTGTGTGTGTGTGTGTGTGTGTGTGTGTGTGTGTGTGTGTGTGTGTGTGTGTGTGTGTGTGTGTGTGTGTGTGTGTGTGTGTGTATGTGTGTGTGTGTGTGTGTGTGTTTGTGTGTGTGTGTGTGTGTGTGTGTATGTGTGTGTGTGTGTGTGTGTGTGTGTGTGTGTGTGTGTGTGTGTGTGTGTGTGTGTGTGTGTGTGTGTGTGTGTGTGTATGTGTGTGTGTGTGTGTGTGTGTGTGTGTGTGTGTGTGTGTATGTGTGTGTGTATGTATGTGTGTGTGTGTGTGTGTGTGTGTGTGTGTGTGTGTGTGTGTGTGTGTGTGTGTGTGTGTGTGTGTGTGTGTGTGTGTGTGTGTGTGTATGTGTGTGTGTGTGTGTGTGTGTGTGTGTGTGTGTGTGTGTGTGTGTGTGTGTGTGTGTGTGTATGTGTGTGTGTGTGTGTGTGTGTATGTGTGTGTATGTGTGTGTGTGTGTGTGTGTGTGTGTGTGTGTGTGTGTGTGTGTGTGTGTGTGTGTGTGTGTGTGTGTGTGTGTGTGTGTGAGTGTGTGTGTGTGAGTGTGTGTGTGTGTGTGTGTGTGTGTGTGTGTGTGTGTGTGTGTGTGTGTGTGTGTGTGTGTGTGTGTGTGAAATGTCTCTGCACATAGATAGCTCTGCTAGTGATTAGCCACAAAGGAGTCAATTAGTACACCTTGTGACCTTACCTGATTTCACCTTTCCTTGAATTGGCAGGAAAAACATTTTTTTTTTTTTTATTAATGCTATGAATATCGATGGTGTTATTTTTATCATAGATATTATAATTACAATAATGTTATAGGCAATAGTAACAGCAATGTAAGATAATGTAAAATATTTTCAAAAATCAAGGAAAAGGGTAAAAGGCAAGAGAGGCAGTTCTCATAATTGGCTCATTTGTGACTTAGTACAAGTGTAGCCATCTATGTGTAAAAACAATTAATAAAGTAAATTCACAGTGGGCTATGACATGTACGTACATGCCATGCCCATCAGCTTTGGGTTAAGACTTTCCATAAGTCTTGAAAATAGGGTTAATTTCTTTTTTTTTCTGAAGTTTACTGAAAAAATAGAAACAAGCAACTGAGACCATATAAAACTCTGCTTACATCTTTGAATGGAAGTTAAAAGAGACAAGAAATTTCAGTGAATAAGAAAATATTTGTACAAACCTATAATTTCCAGCATTTATAAGCAAACATCTTAAGTTTCTATAAGCTACTTTCAGCTACTATCTGAAATTACACAATGAAAACAAAACTCACATCAAATTCACTGTCCTTCATATCTTGAAACCATTATCAGGTAAGAGTGTCTCTTAACTTTATTAAGTTCAGTGAACTCCATAAAAGAAAATTCATCTAGCAAAAAAAATAGAATTCTTATTAACGATTTACAATTTTTTGCATGCAACCTGAAAATAGACTACAAAGTGCTACAAGACAGAGTGCAATTACACAAATGACTAGCAAGTTGAGTTTACAACATTCAGGTCCCTGTAAATGGATTAACTTTCTATTCTATACTATCATACCATGCTCCAAATCTATATCTTATGAATATTCATACAAATACAAAATACCTAAACACTCTACATACAAAAGGGATACATATAACCATGATAGGAAGAAAAATGAGAACTACTTTGTAGAAAAGCAACAATTTATCCAGTTATGACATTGGGAGTGTGGGAAAGAGGGAGGAGAAAGGTGACAAAGAGAGAAAGGAGGGGAAAAAGGTGACAAAGAGAGAAAGGAAGGGAGAAAGGAGAAAGGAAGGTAGGGGAGAATGAGAGAAGGTGATGGAGGCATGAAAAAGACAGGGAGGAGAAGGGGGTGAGATAGGCGCAGTAAGATTGTGGAGGTAAGGAGGAAAAATATGAGGACAGAAAGGCGAGATGAAAGAATAGGATGTTAGGGATGAGGAGAATGGGTGAAGGAGGAACAGCCAGATGGGGAGGTGGATGATGAGGAAATCCCTACACTGTATAGAGAAAATATGAAAACAATTATTAATTACACGCAAACATTAAACATAAAATCAAATGAACAAAATAATCTGAAGTGACATTATTCCCACTGTTCCACTTCTGGAATAAATTGGAACAAGTAATCCAATCAAAAACTACAAGAACTCTTCAACACTTCTCACATCCAGTCTCATATAATCCTATTCACATCTAAAAATTAATCTTTATAACAAATGTATTACAAAATATTCAATTCATGCCTCCTGGCCTTACCCTGACCAGGTACCCCATGCAACTTATGTAGAAAAAAAGAAGTCTATACTGATAATATAGCAGCTGTTTACCTGATCCTTTGAGGACAACACACCAATCTAGAAAATAAGATTGGCTTTCAATACAAATACAAATGCTCTTTCCTAATTGAAGATAATATCAGAAAAGGAGCCTCAAAATCTTAATCCTATTATAAAAAATCTGACACACAAGACCTTGGGAGCAAACTTGACTTTACATTCCAAGCAATTTTGGCTACTACATCCACAACAGGTAGTAGCGCTAATTATGAAATTTAAGTATATCACTAAATCAAAAGGAAATAAAACTATGCTTCCAAAATAAAGTTGCTATGTTAGATATACCAAATAAAAGCAAATAAAAATTTGCTGCAAAATTAAAATTATTAACTTATAGGAATATTCTGTTTTATAAAGATTTGAGACCATTAATGCCAGAGTGATTGTAGACTGGGCATTGTTGCCAATGCTACATTCCTACAAAGCACGAACCTGTGGCAAGGTTCCAATGCTATTAGTGCTAACTTAAAAATACCGTGGTTAACATCCAGAACACTTCTGTTCATCTTTAAATCTGGCATATGTTTGGATTTACAACTTAAATTTGAATGGATGTAGATACACATTTTCTTATACATCAGGCAAAATTCTTATAAAAAAGCAAAGCACTTCTAAACATTCTATATCAGAAACATAAATGATACTTCCCCACAGACTGCCAACCAAATACTTCACATTCAGAATATAAAGGATGCTAAATATCAAAGAGAACCTCTCATTCCTGCAATCATCCTCAAAATTAGAAAGTATCTGAAGGGATCTGAACCCAATTTGAACATGGAAATACCATCACAAGATTAAAAGTTGTGGGCATCCAGCCTTTCTCACCTTGACACGTGATAAATGGGGAATGGGGCATGATCCATCTGGGTTGGGTGGTATAGTGATTTCCCATTTACCAAAGTCCAACTTCTTGAAAGGCATGACACACTTCTCCCAGTTATCTGAAGAGTAATGAAGTTGATGAAATAAAGAATACATTTTTCTTGTGAAGGTAGAGTTTGAGAACAAAAAAAAAAGTTAACAAAGATTAGTCATTATAAACATATTCACAAGTTCACATATACACTCACACCTGCATTCCCACACACACACTGATAAACATAGACAATGTCAGTGCTTACTAAAATCCCCTTTGAGAAACAGCCCCTGGGCTAGGGGAGCCCATTCACGGCAGGTCACACTGTTGTCTGGATTAACATGGAGGCCAAAATTCTCATAGCCACGAGAGAATTTCTCTAGTCCTCCTTCAGCTTCACTTATTTGGTTGAGTAATTTCTCAAAACATCCATATCTGGAAAGTTAAAATATAAATATATATGTGTGTGTGTGTGTGTGTGTGTGTGTGTGTGTGTGTGTGTGTGTGTGTGTGTGTGTGTGTGTGTGTGTGTGTGTGTGTGTGTGTGTGTGTGTGTGTGTGTGTGTGTGTGTGTGTTCGTTCAAAAAGTCTGTGTTCAAAGTTTACAACAGGACTACATTCATGAGAGACTGTCCTAAATATGAACAAACAAACAAATTAACCCATCCTAAACACACAAACTACCACAACGATTGCCTTAAAGAAAAGAAAAGAAAAGAAAAGAAAAGAAAAGAAAAGAAAAGAAAAGAAAAGAAAAAAAAAAAAAAAAAAAAAAAAAAAAAAAAAAAAAATTCCCAAGTTGAGGGCATCAGACAAGACCTCTTAATGACCATTGCATTTCTCTAGCCAGGAGCTCTGACTCTGATTGCCATTTCTCTCCTGTTGGTTCAGTCCTTTTGTATACATTAATTAAGTTCCATAAGAAATGTAATTTGTTTTTTAATTCTTATTCTCTTTGCTACTGCTCTATCTATCAGTAAAACCTACAATTTCATAACAAAATATCTGACATACAAGCAGATTATTTCCGTAAATTTTTGTGCTCTTTATGTCTATCAGAAGAAATTTCCTGTCTCTGAATCCCTACTCTGGCTCACATAAGCCTCTAAAATGACACCTAATAGTCTGAGCTTTGTATGAACACATGAAAAGAGAAAAAAAACACCATCTTTCTCTTTTTAAAACACAATTAATTCAACACAAATTGT